AACTCGACCTTAATAGAGGGATCCAACGGTCACGTGACTAGCAGCCACGGCAGCCATACTGGAGGACAACCTCGGCGAGTAACAGCCCTCCTAGCTATCTATAACTGGACGTTCAAAACTAGAACTCTCTCGAACTACATGAAAACTGAACAGAGAATTTTAAACTTCAGCAGTTAGTGACCCAAATATATACTCAACCCAAATTCATGAATCAGATCCTCTGAAAATGCATCCTAAAATGTATTATTGTTTATCCTTACATCCAGGTTCACCGCGGTCGCATATTGTCGCATTAAAAGTGTTTTTTCATGAAAACGTGAACAGAAAATTCTGAAAACCTCTGTGCACGTGTATTAAGAATGTATATGTATAATGTATTCTCCGATTAACATTTAATGTGTTTATTGTTACACCATGAATCTATGTGTGGCTACACTGCAGTGGAAATAATGAGATTACATTCAAATCAATGGAGCTTTCTGCGTCTACTGTGAGGAGCCGTGTATTTTATTAATAAATACTAGTACGGGGCACCCTCGAGCACGGCTCAGTCGTTCACATGTCTGCTGGCCTTCGGTAAGTCAGATACCCTGTGAACCGGGTGAGGTCCTGTGTGAGACCAAATATATAACAGCTATGCTACAAGCTAAGCTACAGTCTATGGAACAACCCCACGTTGCAGTCAGATAGATATGTTTTATCCTTAAACTTCTGTTTGTTTCGGAATAACACTAAATCCGCCATCAAATTGATTTCACTTAGCAGAAATGAAATGATCCGAGCATATTCGGGCGCTCTGGCGGCTATTAGTTTTTTATTGTTGCATATGGTTGAACCATTTCTCTCTCGTTTCTTTGAGATGTCTTCTGTTTTTGAGCCGTGTGAAGTAAGGACGGCTGGCAGTCGGTAACACAACTTATTTTCCCTGTCTCTCCTTTTGCTGCAGCCAAAAACGGCAAAAATGTTGAACATGTTTATGCTGTTCCTCCAGTATGGCGGATTCCCCGCGAGTTCGAGGCATCGTGACAATACGTGAGATATCTCTATAGGTTTGACTCTTTGTGAAGCTGATGCTCTGGAGTTTTCACTTCCCATTTATTCTATTTATAGGTGGGAACAATCTTAGTACAGATGAATGAAAGTCTAAACCCAATAGTGGCCAACATGTTTGATAAAATGTTTATTAGAAATGGACTGAATGAGTGACGTCACCTTAGTGTTAACCGAATGCATAAGAAGCTGATTTGAGAATCGACTAGCCCAAGCCTGAGCAAACCTTTCTTCCCGAGGGTCACATTAGAATATCAGCCTGCTGTCAGGGGCCGGACAGTTCGCCTAATTATGCTAATCTATATAAGGGGTATTTTGAAGACACCCCATGCAAAACCAATTTCACCCAAACATTAAAGCTGCACTAACTGACTTTGGGATTTTGAAGCCGGGGACTCGCTGGCCTCGCTCTTTCTGCTCCCCTCCCCGCACCCACGAAGCTATCGCCCCCCACACACACCCACTGTTGGGTCTCCCAATATGGATAATACATGGACATGGATTTGCACTTGGATGGCGTGACCATAGAACGATAGAACCGGGAAGCGCGGAGGAACGAGACTTTCTTTTGGATGGCTGTCTCGCTGTGTAAGCAGTAACCGGTGACGAAGACACGAAGCTTCAGGTTAGCTCCTCGGCTTGTTGTGCTAACTCAGCCGTCTATGCTAACAGGGACCTGTAGATTTCTCACAAAAGTGGGGGCCAGTGGTCCGCGGTGATTGGTCACAATCTGCGACCCGAAACACATTCTCTTCCTTGTTTCATCAAAACTCGATCTAAAATATAATGTCAGGCCAGCACAAATCTGCGCTACTTTTTCGTCAAAAGGACGTATATCCCAATGCCCTACACGGACATGGATAGCATTTTCGTAATGAATACAAAAATAAAGTCAGTTAGTGCAGCTTTAAGTGGTTCCGGTATATAGATGACATTTTTTGTATTTTTAAATGGTAGCATTGCTGAACTTGATGACTTTGTGTCACTAATCAACAGTTTTGACCCAAATCTTAAGTTCACTGCTCAATCCAACTCCTGCCAAGTGAGTTTTTTGGACATGTGGGTAATCAAGGACAAAGGCAGCATCATCACATCCCTGTATTGAAAAGAAACACACTCTTGTTGGCCTCCAGTTTCCATCCCACACCCTTGAAAAAAGGCCTACCTATTAGTCAGTTTCTCCGTTTGAAAAGGATTTGTCATACCACTGACGATTACATTGAACAGGCCACAGATCTGAAAGTCTTGAGCAAGCCCTTCACAAACCACGCTCAGCACTTAATATTTTGACATCAGACCCAGAAATCTCTAATATTTTTAAAGACCCCCCTCTTTTTGTAAATAAACGAGGACGAAATCTGAGGGACCGACTGGTGCGGGCCACCTTTACAAGTACCCCAAAGGAACCCTCACAAACTCTGCTCCAACCGATTCCTACTGGGAACTACCGCTGTGCTCAGTGCAACATCATTTTTTGCACCCCCACACTGGTAAGAAATTCCCCATTAAAAGTGTGATTACATGTGCCTCCACACATGTAGTTTATATGCTTAAGTGCCCATGTGGTTTGGCCTACATTGGTAAAACAACAAGAAAACTAAAACAGAATCAGTGAACACAAGAGCACCAACCGCAGGAACGACAGAGACTACCCTGTAGCTGTACATTTTAATGACCACAACCACGACAGTGCTTTAAGATTATTTGGCATTGAGAAAGTCCACCTTCCACCCAGAGGAGGAGACCACGACCGACTGCTCAAACAGAGACCTACTGGATCTACACACTTCAGACCCTAGCCCCAAAAGGCTTGAATGACGACTTCAATTTAAGCATATTTTTATGATAAATGTTTTTTGATATTGTCAAGTCATCGATAGGTCATTTTGTACGTGGTTTATTTTTCTCAATATAGTGATATGTGTATATGGTGAAATGTATATAGTACACTGGTGTTTTATTATTGCCTGGTCACTCTATGCGTACCCTATATATTTAAATCCTCCCCAGTTTTTCTATTTTTTCCATTTTATATAATCAATCGCACTATAAATAGGCATTTAGCACATGTGTGTGTGATTATATATATATATTTATAATCTGTCTGACTGCTATCTTTGTATGTCTCCATCTAGTGGTTCATGTGTTTTTTGTGCATTGCTCTGTGGGTGTGGTGACTGTACACCCTTGGGTGCCTGCCCCACCCTATTTAAGAGGACTTCCTGGGGCTCTTTTCATGTTTGCTTGATGAAGGCATAACGCCGAAACGTCACAATTTAAATAAATAATGTTTAATTTGCAAGTAAGACGGTGTGCGGGATTATTCTTTCTCAGGGGCCAGACAGTTCCCTATGTTTTTCTCAGATTTTTACACAAACTTTTATGTCCATTGCTCATCCTGCTGCCTATTGAGCAATGGCTTCTGAGCATTTAGAGATTGTATTTTATTTAGTATAGTTATTGTGCATTTATCTTGTGTTGTCCTTCCTACTGTTCTGTAATTGGTGATGCAACACAAAAACTTCCCAACTGTGGAATGAATAAAGCATCTCTAAATATTTTCCTCTGTCCGAACATCTTTCATTCTAAGATCTGGGGCTGTATAACTAAAGATTCTGAGAGTCCTCTCAAAGAGCTTCTAACTTAGCTAGGCGTCTTAGCATAAAGTGCGTAAAAGTGCCCCTCAGGAGAACCACATTAGGGCAGTCGGTCTTCTCGGTCCAGGGGGCAAAGCTCTGGAACTCTAAGCCCCGAGCTAAAACTGAACTCTGACTGGGCTGGTTTTAACACAAACTCAAGCGATTTTTTAAAACAAACCAGTTGTGTGAGCACCAATGAGTTGGAGAACATCTGCTTTTGTATGATGTGAATTTTATGATGTAAAATGGGTTTTAATTGTGTTAAAAGCCCTCCTAGGGACTGACATTGCAAACTATAGCTATAAATGTTGTAGCGTTTCACATGTTGAGTGTGTACACTTGTCCCCATCAAATAAATCAATATATAAAATCAATAAAAAATATATATTCTTGAACAATCTCAGAACTCTGAGCAAGGAATGGACAAAAACTCCCATCTTAGGAGGCATAGCAGACCCTGTTGGTATGTATATAGACCTCATTTCAGACGATGTGATTGTTTTCTCTAACTATTAGGATCAAGCATACTTTTGGTGACAATGAGCAAAATAAGGACCCTCAAATGGACAAGATGACGTCTTTCATGCATTTATTTGCATTTAGAAAAACATGATCATTTGATATTAAACTTGCATTGAAACCATTTTCAGAAAAGATAGATCAATGTAAACGTGGGTGTATATGGATTTATATAACAGGTATTTCACATCTTTATCCATTTTGGTTCAAATACATGGACTTTTTTTTTTCTGAATAGATTTCAGAATTTTTAAATATAAATACTGAATTATACTTTCCCCAGGTATGACCCGTGGCTGCGCAAGCTCACTATGGGGCAATTACAAAGATGCAGGAACTCTGACCTTATGCTGTTAGGATAAGGAGGCTCTGTTCAGCGCCATCAAGCGTGTTTAATATTAAGGACAGATGCGCCATACAAGTGGTCGATATGTTATAAAAGCTGAGGGCAGCAGGCACAGGACAGGAGGGTCTGGATCGTGACTTACAGGCCCCCGTCTGTCACATAGTCTGCCCTGGAGAGCAGCTTCAGTGATCAACTGATGCACCCTCCCTTTGTAAAGGAGAGGTTCTGAACTGTTTTTCATACGATTTAGTTCAACGCAAAGGAGCACAAATTCAAACAGGCAGTTAAAAGTTGCTGCAGCTTTGAACTCTGACATAAGAAATGGTGTCACACTTAAACAATGCTAACAGAGCTAGCATGAGGCTGCATGTGGAAGGGATAAGGCCACAGCTGAATGGGGGAGTGGCAGGCTTAGCGGTAGTCTGTGGTGCCAGACTTCCTCTTGCCTGCCAACAGGTGCTTGGGCTTCAGGTCGAAGACGTGACGATCGGCTTCGCCCTTCTTGCCCTGTCGGTTCATGCCACGCTGTGAGTTCTTCATCATGGTCTTTGCCTTCTTCATCATCTGTAGGACACAGTTCCATGTTTATGGTTTTAAGAGACAGATTCTCATTTGAAATCACATCTCCATCTTTTCTCTGTGGTCTCAGACACAAGGTCAGATGTAAAAATCATATTTTTAGAACTGATTCTGGTGATGCATGTTTTTCCACTAGTTTTATTAATTGATTTACATGGTTTTTACCTAATGACTAAAAGTGGTGAATATTACTTGAGATACAGAAACTACTTGAGATACTTGACAGGCGCCCAAATACTAACTGCTGTCAAGTAAACCATGTGTTGCTATGGTAACTAGTACTTGCTCTTCACTGGTGGAAAATCAAAGTGAATCAGCACCAAACCAAAACCAGTTCAGGACCAGTCCAGAATGTTGGTTACCAAGCAAATAAAAAAGGTACATTTGAATGTTGCTACCTTGGGGTCTCTGAGGCCGGACTTGTCCCGTGTTGGTCTGGAGGCACTCTGACTGCGGGTCTTGGACGTAGGGGGCATGGAGACTTCGCGCTTACGTTTCCTCACCAGACTGCGTGAGCGACGTCCCTGCTGAGCATAGTGGCTCTGAAGGGGAGAGAGCAACAACCACGTCTGACACATGTATGACACATATGGGAGGTAAGCAAACAAAGAGGACTTACGTCATCTTTGTCGTCCATGTCCAGACCCAGAGAGCCCATCTCCTTTTCCAGCTGCTTCCTCTCCACCTGGAACACACCAGTCCTATGTCAGAACTCACATTCACCAAATAAGCACATTTGGAAAAATTAGCACGTTGGCACGCATTGTTAAGAGCCGGTGTTTCATTTTCCATAACATTTGGGCTCTACACCAGGGATGTCATAATCTAATAAATCAGAGGGCCAGAGTTTTTTAAGAAGAAGAGAAAGATGTACTTTATTGATCTGTCTTTGTGGGAGGCCAGCGACTCGCAGGGCAATGAGGAGCGTGTCTTTGTGGGTTTGCCCAGCTGATCACCAGGGGACAGAGGGCGTGTCTTTGTGGGATGCCAGCGACCTCGCCAGGGGACAGAGGGCGTGTCTTTGTGGATGCCTAGCGACTCATCGCTCGGGAAGAGGGGTGTCTTTGTGGGATGCCAGGAATCGCCCCAGGGGAACAGGGGCGTTGTCTTTGTAGGGATGCCTGCGACTCGCCAGGGGACAGGAGGGCGTGTCTTGTGGGATCGCCAGCGACTAGCAGGGGACAAGAGGGAGTGTCTTTGTGGGATGCCAGCGACTCGCAGGGACAGAGGGCGTGTTCTTTGTGGGGATCTTGGCCAGCGACTCGCAGGGGACCAGGAGGGCGGTGTCTTTGTGGGATGCCAGCGACGCGCCAGGGATAGAGGGAGTGTCTTTGTGGCGAATGCCAGCGACTCGCAGGGGGACAGAGGGGTGTCTTTGTGGGATAGCCCGCGACTCGCCAGGGCGAACAGAGGGCGTGTCTTTGTGGGATGCCAGCGGAACTCAGCCAGGGGACAGAGGGCGTGTCTTTGTTGGCGGGATGCCAGCGAACTGCCTGGGGACAGAGGGCGTTGTTTTGTGGGCATTGCCAGCGACTCGCCAGGGGACAGCAGGGCGTGTCTTTGTGGGATGCCAGCGATTCAACCAGGGGACAGCTCAGAGGGGTGTCTTTGTGGGATGCCAGCGACTCGCAGGGCAGAGGGCGTTGTCTTTGTGGGGATGCCAGCGACTCGCCAGGGGACAGAGGGCGTGGCTTTGTGGGATGCCAGCGACTCGCCAGGGATAGAGGGCGTTGTTCTTTGTGGGATGCCAGCGACTCGCCAGGGGACAGTGGGCGTTTGTCTTTGTGGGATGCCAGCGGACTCGCCAGGGGGACAGAGGGGTGTCTTGTGGGATGCAGCGACTCGCCAGGGCGACAGTCTGGGCGTGTCTTTGTGGGATGCCAGCGACTCGCCAGGGGGACAGAGGGCGTGTCTTTGTGGGATGCCAGCGACTCGCCAGGGGAACAGTAGGGCGTGTCTTTGTGGGATGCCAGCGATCGGCCTAAGGGATAGAGGGCGTGTCTTTGTGGGATGCCAGAGACTCGCCAGGCGGACAGGGAGGGCGTGTCTTTGTGGGATGCCAGCGACATCGCCAGGGAGGATAGATGGCGTGTCTTTGTGGGTTGCCCAGCGACTCGCCAGGGAACAGAGGGCGGTCGTTCTTTGTGGGATGCCAGCGACTCGCCAGGGGATAGAGGGCGTGTCTTTGTGGGATGCCAGCGTCTCTGCCAGGGGACAGTGGGGTGTCTTTGTGGATGCAGCGACTCGCCAGGGATTAGAGGGCGTTTGTCTTTGTGGGATGCCCAGGACTCGCCAGGTACAGAGCGGCGGTGTCTTTGTTGGGATGCCAGCGACTCGCCAGGGAATAGAGGGCGTGTCTTTTGGTGGGATGCCCTCGACCGCCCGGGGACAGAGGGGTGTCTTTGTGGGATCCAGCGGACTCGCCAGGGGACAGAGGGCGTGTCTTGGTGGGATGCCAGCGACTCGCAGGGGGACAGAGGGCGTGGTCCTTTGTGGGTGCCAGCGATCCCAGGGACAGAGTGGGCGTGTCTTTGTGTGGATGCCAGCGACTCGCCAGGGGACAGAGGGCGTGTCTTTGTGGGGCTGCCAGCGGACTCACCAGGGGACAGAGGGCGTGTCTTGTGGGATGCCAGCGATGCCAGGACAAGGGCGTGTCTTTGTGGGGATGCCAGCGACTGCCAGGGATTGAGGGCGTGTCTTTGTGGGATGCCAGCGAACACAAATAATCGCCAGGGACAGAGGGCGTGTCTTTGTGGGATTGCCAGCGACTCGCCAGCGGGGACAGAGGGCGTGTCTTTTGTGGGACACCTGCGACCGTCCATTCAGTTGATCTATTGTTGACTTTGAAGACCTGCACTAAACACACATGTATGACCTTGTGTGAGTTGTCTAGCTAGACCATCTATGCCTCATGTTATACCCCAAAAGGGTCATAACAGGAGCTCATTTACAGAAATTTCAATAATATTCAAAATCCACCCCAGGATCATAGAGCGGCTAAATCCGGTATTTTAAGCCAAACCCACTGAGTGTCCACGGTTTCTTTTCAGTCTGTGTGTGCTCTATGGGCTGGGTCTGGTGTTGGATCTCTGAGCTGTGTAAGGGACCAGAGAGGGGCCAGGCAGGGGCCAGAGCAGGGGCGCAGAGCAGGGCCAGAGCAGGTAGCCAGAGCAAGGGCCAGAGCAGGGGCCAGAGCAGGAGCCAGAGCAGGAAGCCCAGAGCAGGGGCCAGAGCAGGGCCATGAGCAGGGGCCAGAGCAGGGCCAGAGCAGGGGCCAGAGACAGGGGCCAGAGCCAGGTGCCAGAGCAGGGACCAGAGCAGGAGCCAGATGCCGGGACCAGAGCAGGAGCCAGAGCAGGAGCCAGAGCACGTGACAGGCAGGGGCCAGAGCAGGACCAGGAGCAGGGGCCAGAGCTGGGGCCGGCGCAGGGGCCAGAGCAGGGGCCAGAGCAGGGGCCAGAGCAGGGGCCAGTGCAGGGACCAGAGCAGGAGCCAGAGCAGGAGCCAGGCAGGGGCCAAGCAGGGGCCAGAGCAGGAGCCAGAGCAGGGGGACAGAGCAGGGCAGAGGCAGGTCCAGCGCAGGGACCAGAGGCAGGGGCAAGAGCAGGTGGCCAGAGCAGGACCAGAGCAGGACCAGAGCAGGAGCCAGAGCAGGGGCCAGAGCAGGGGACCAGAGCAGGGGCCAGAGCAGGAGCCAGAGCAGGGGCAGAGCAGGGACAAGAGCAGGGGCCAGAGCAGGGGCCAGAGCAGGGGCCTGAGCAGGGGCCAGAGGCAGGGGCCGAGCAGGGCCAGAGCAGGAGGCCAGTAGCAGGGGCCAGAGCAGGGGCCAGAGCTGGGGCCAGAGGCAGGGACCAGAGCAGGAGCCGGAGCAGGAGCCAGAGCAGGGGGCCAGAGCAGGGGCCAGAGCTGGGACCAGAGCAGGGCCAGAAGGGCCGAGCAGGGGCCAGGAGCAGGGACAGAGCAGGGACCAGCCAGCAGGGGCCAGAGCATGGGACCAGAGCAGGAGCCAGAGCAGGGCCAGAGGCAGGGGCCAGAGCAGGGGCCAGAGCAGGGACCGAGCAGGAGCCAGAGCAGGGGCCTGTGCAGGGCCCGAGCGGGGGATGAGTGGTCGGTCTTTCTTTGGCATATACCCCTCCGTAGCAGTGTGCTATATTTATTCTCATGAATCAGCTGATCTGTGTGCCTCAATGAGTATTGTTTACATAGCTTCAGTTAGTGGAAATCAAATCAAATAAAAAAAAAAACGAATGTTTCAATGTGCATATGATCAATGTATGATAATAGCTACTTCAGGGTTTACCGCAAAATATTTTTAGTACCCTTAGAATTGAGTGTCCCCCTCGCCGATTAAGACAGTTACAACAACCGTACACCGCACAGGATGAGAATCTTTTGACTCCAAAGCAGACACGGATTTACATGGTTTTCAATGAGAGCAAAACTGGAGTTGTCCCACCTCTGCTCATTCGCTCCCTACTGGCCAGTTTAATGAAACCCAAGAATACTGGTCATTCTTTCTGCATAGTTAGCTCAACTTTCAATATGTAAAAATGTTTACGTTATTTGGATGAGTACTTTTTGAAATATTCGTTAACACTTTGTGGATGTGGGGTGTGTGTGCCATAAAACTTTCATCAAAAACACTGTCCTCATAACCTGTTGTTGCTCACCTCATTTTCTCAGCCTTATGTATCAGCTAGAAACTTCTTTTGTTTTTGTCTAGTCTTTCAGACTCTTGTTTCATGTTTCTCATAATCATAGCACACAATATTCTGTGAGTCTTGTAAATCAGTGAAGTAATCAAAAATGACTGGCAGTCAGAGTTAAGTGTTAAAGGAGCATTATGTAAAAAATTTGGCCAAAAGTGCGTAGCGTATCAACATCAGGGTTTCCTCCAGAGGATATCACCCTTCAATTTTTAGTCCCACATCAAAAAGAGACTAACATAATTTTTAATTGGGGTACATGTGGTCTCAAATTACAAATTAGCTATAATCTGCAAAATATGTCTTGATTAATGTCTTTTACCTGGTTTTTGAGCAATCTGTCATAGAATATGATAATATGCAATTAAATACAAACAGACTCTGGCCGGACTCGAACCCGGACCACTGGAGTGCAAGCATTATGGCTTAACCATTAGACCACCGTTACACCTAATAGATAATGTTTTGGAGGCAGCTAATTTAATTGTCAATGAAGAACGCACTCAAAGCAGCAACTTTTGCATCACATGAAAAGTTTTATCCGCTGTCTCAAATTTTCAAAGGCGTCCCGATATAAATCCTCGTTTTAGTCTTTGTTTTGTCATTAATGATTTTAGAGTCATAACAAGAGCTTTTTAAGTTCTGCAGCCACGTGCTATTTTACCAGTGAGATTAGCCACGCTGAGTTCTGGCAACCCGGATGTCGGACTTCCTGATTAGCGAAACGGCGAAGGGTAGGACATCGAAATGATAACGATAACTTTTAACGTTATTAAATCATGCTCTTTTTTGAAAAGAGCATGATTTAATAACGCCTTTTGAAATATTGGGGCCATTTAAAGATGACTTGACATGCAAATACTACATAATGCTACTTTAAGTGTCATTATTATTAAAAGCTGTGCACTCAAGTGTTCAGAAGCGGTGGGGGTGGTGATTACGTCTTCCTGCTGCGACTGCTGTCTCCAAACGAGCAGAGTTTGTTGCACTAAAGGTATTGATTTAAAGAAAACCAATGGATTTATCAAGAAGGCTATATTTCCCTTGTCATTCTGAACTTACCAAGTGCGCCAAGAGGACTCTGGAAGAGTGAACTGGGGGATCTGTACATGGGACAACTATCAGTCATACTCTACAGAAATCTGATCTTTCATGCACGAGTGGCAGAAGAATTTATTATTGAAAGGAATCATAAGACTTCCTGTTTGAAGTTTTCCAGTACTCTGATATGGGACACAGCTACCATGTGGAAGAAGGTGCTTTGTTCAGATGAGACATAAATCAAACCTTTTGACTCAAATGTTATGTATGCCGCAAACCAAACTGCTCATTTCAAACATGTGTTAGAATGGCCCAGTCAGAGTCAAGACCTGAGTTCAAGAGATCTGTGGAAAGAGCTGGAAACTGCTGAAAAAACAAAGGAAGTATTCTCAAGATGTTGTTCAGGACCAAAGCAAATTAACCCTCTATGCACATGGGTCATTTTGGGGAACTTTCCTCGCCTGGTTTTCTTTGTGTATAATTGTTCATAAAACAGTCATCTTTTGATGCAGAGTCAAGCAGTATACTTTGTTTTTTTTTCAGTACAACCTGGGGTTTTAGAATATTCATATTGTAAAGCTGTAATGAATTATATAAAATTTATGGAATCATGAAGACAAAGAAAAAAATCAAACGGAAAATCAATTTAACAAAAATGTATTGAAAAAACACAATGAAATGCTATAAACAACTTTTTACACTGCATAGAAATGTTATTTAGGGACTTGGGGATAATAGGGAAAAAAAAATGAATCTCTAACTATTATACTTTTTACAAAATTCCACTATAAAAGCAAAAAACTCTGTACTCCTGATGCCCTTCCTGAAGCAGTTTGTCTATAATACTGGGGTTGCTTCTGTAGTACAGCTGTAAAAAACGTAAAACATAAGAAACAGACAAAAAAAACATCAATTATTTATATAATACATATATTTATATACATCATATACACATAATGTCATTTTACTGTATTTATTATCTTTACCAATAATGCGCACTCTTCAGCCGGTAGTTGCAATCGCAGCTGTAGTTTCAACTGGGAGAACAAGTGCACACAGAGGAGTGAGACATCTCACTCTCTGACGATCTTTGGCAGTCCCCGTGTGTTTGTATCTCACAGCTGTTTGTACCTCACGGGTCACGCTTTGGACACGGACTTTCAGACAAACGTAGTTTATCGTCCGTGCATCGCACAGACAAATCAAAACTTAGTTTTGGAAAGCCCTGAATACGTACTTCACAGAGGAAAAAAAAGTAAGTTGCTACGTTACTGTTTGCGAGTAAATTGATCATTTGTAAAACATGTGCGCATGCATCGTCGCCGATGCAGACGAGTTCATAGGGTTAAGACATTTGCTTTTTAAATGTTGGTTTAACACAATTATGGGCCTTTCCCCCGAACGCTTCTTGTGACTAAACAATGTTCTGGCTTCCTGAAAGTTGTGATTTCTAAACTAACGAGTGAGATCTGTTTTGTTCTTCACAGGAAAGACCCCCGTTCATCCCAGAGGGAGCGCTGCAGAGGAAGAAGGCCATGGAAGTGGACCAACCCAAACGCAAAACGGTTTGTGCACACGCTGCTCATGCTGTTACTGATATTCAAACGGATCCATATCCACAGTCTGTATTTCACCATTTAAAGCGATCCTGCAGAGAATTTCTTTGGTAAAACAAATATAAATGAAGATGAATGAATGTACCTGAAAAAAATATCAGATACCACGTTTTGTTTGTGGAAAAAGCTGTACAGTTTGCGACATCAACCGATATAATTTCAGTATATTTGTTGAGCCGTGCTTGGTCTCCATTTCAACCAAGGTTTCCCACGCACTGCTTGCAGGAGCAGGGTGGGGCATTTTACATGTTCGATCTAACTGCACAAAGAGTTTAACCGTCAATCTGCAACACATTCTCCCATTAAGCTGCTTGTGTTATGCAGGAGCGGGACCTCGAGGTGGAGATGGGAGACGACTACATTCTGGATCTGCAGAGTAAGCTGTGTGTGTGTGTCTCCCCTAAGCGTCCCGTCTGGTTGTGTGTGTCTCCTGAGTACCCCCTGTGGTTGTTTGTCTGGATGTCTCCTGAGCCCCCTGTGGTTGTCTTGCGCAGAGTACTGGGACCTGATGAACGCGGAGGAGAAGCAGGACAGGATTCCGGAGGTGTGGGAGGGCCACAACATCGCTGACTACATTGACCCGGACATCATGAAGGTACACACTTTAAAACGCCTTCCCAGGGTCTGACTGTGAACAGAGTGTGATTGGCCGGGGACCAAAGCTTTGCCCAGGCATTACACGTTGTAACTGTCATAGGGACAATGTTGAGATAACTGATGGGCAACGGTTGCGTGAGTCCGTTTGAACGCTTTCAAGTGACTTATATTGTTCCTGCTCGGGTGTTTTTCAGTTCAGTTCCGACTAGAAAATGGTTTTGTGGGGTATCTTTCATGGGACTAAAAAAAATTTTATGGCTACGGCGCCTGACAAACCGGAAGGAAAAAATAATTCACACACAGCGTATCAGGTGTCTCAGTTAAAGTTGCCATATTTTGCTTTTCTTAATTTTTCACAGTCCATCCTATGCACATGTGTGATGATAATTTGAGTGGTACACCATACAACACTTAAAAACTTTATTATAGCCATTTCGTGCATAGTGATGTCACCTCATGTGAAAGGCTTGGATCTGTGTTCCTCTGTCAGCTTTCACTGTTAGGCATTTCACACCTGAGAATAAACCTTTTCCAACCATGGCAATCTGTTACATAGAGCAGTGTTTTTCAACCTTTTTTGAGCCAAGGCACACTTTTTTCACTGAAAAAATCTTGCGGCACACCTCCAGGAGAAAATGTAAAAATGTATACAGTACTAATGTAAAAAAATATATACTGTACATACTCTGTGTGATATATAAAGTATATCTTATCTTATAATGTATACAGTATACTCTGTAGCCTATATTCACAATATACAGTTATTCTCATCAAAATGCTTAAGTCCAGGCCTTGACATTAAGCTTTATTTAATATTTCTCGATACAATTAACAAGAGTTTGGGAATAAAGTGGCACTAAATGTGTGGAAAAAAACTAAGAAAATCCACTCTCTGCCCAAATAGTCAAATAATAACTCACACAAAGAACATGCATTGTTAGTGCATGGGAAACATTTTGGTATCCGAGCTTTAAATTCAGGAGTTTTGGATGAGGGACACGGGAGGTCCTGAGCGCGAGTCCATGGTTCTGTCCGGTCCGCATGTCTATGGTTCTGTCCACTCGACTATGGTCTGCGCTCGGTACCCAGTTCAGAAGTGCGTTCGCGAGAGTTCATAGTTCATAGTTAAACCACTACAACGCGGCCACAGCTGCCCCGGGGCAGAGCGGAGGATGTTAATCCTGTTCAGAAACGGCATAATTCATTTTCAAAAACGTCTATCACTTTCACTTCTCACTCGCCACAAAGCTCTTGTCTCGCTCCCTCACACATTTGTTGGTCGCATCCAATTTTACCTTTCTCGCCACAATGCTGACCTGTTACAGCCAGTGGTCGCATCCAATTTTTCAGTTTCAAAGTACTTAGCTATCTGCTGCCATCTACTGATTTGAAAAAGTATTACATGGTTACTCACAGTTCAAAACAAGTCACCGCTCGTCAACAGCGAATGCAGCTATTTTTAGACAAAGTAGACGAATTTCTCACGGCACACCAGACAATATCATACGGCACACTAGTGTGCCGCGGCACAGTGGTTGAAAAACACTGACATAGAGCCCTATGTCCTCGATCCACAATCGGACCCTACTTATTTTGTTCCCAGTGACATACGGCGAGTAAGTTGCATTGTACTAACAGACCAAAGCTCCCTGTTAGTGTCTTTTATCCATCCATTCATTTTCTTCCCCTTAATCCATTTCTGGGTCGGGGGGTGGCAGTCAGAGCTGCACCCAGTACACATAGCACCAGCCCCTCACTGATCCTCCTGCAGGTGGTGAGTCCACAGGAGCTGAGATCTTTTCAGTTGGGGCTTTGGGCAAAGTAGGGTTAACCCTCTATGCACATGGGTCATTTTGGGGAACTTTCCTCGCCTGGTTTTCTTTGTGTATAATTGTTCATAAAACAGTCATCTTTTGATGCAGAGTCAAGCAGTATACTTAGTTTTTTTCAGTACAACCTGGGGTTTTAGAATATTCATATTGTAAAGCTGTCATATGAATTATATAAAAATTATGGAATCATGAAGACAAAGAAAAAAATCAAACGGAAAATCAATTTAACAAAAATGTATTGAAAAAACACAATGAAATGCTATAAACAACTTTTTACACTGCATAGAAATGTTATTTAGAGACTTGGGGATAATGGGGAAAAAAATTGAATCTCTAACTATTATACTTTTTACAAAATTCCACTATAAAAGCAAAAAACTCTACTCCTGATGCCCTTCCTGAAGCAGTTTGTCTATAATGCTGGGGTTGCTTCTGTAGTACAGCTGTAAAAAACGTAAAAAATAATAAACTGAGCCAAAAAAAAAAAACATCAATTATTTATATAATACATATATTTATATACATCATATACACATAATGTCATTTTACTGTATGTATTATCGTCTTTATCAATAATCCGCACTCTTCAGCCGGTTATTGCAATCGCAGCTGTAGTTTCAACTGTGGGACAACAAGTAAACGCAGAGGAGTGAGACATCTCACTCTCTGACGATCTTTGGCAGTCCCCGTGTGTTTGTATCTCACAGCTGTTTGTACCTCACGGGTCACGCTTTGGACACAGACTTTCAGACAAACGTAGTTTATCCTCCGTGCATCGCACAGACAAATCAAAACTAGTTTCGGAAAGCCCTGAATACGTACTTCACAGAGGGAAAAGTAAGTGTCTACGTTTTACCGTTCGCGAGTAAATTGATCATTTGTAAAACATGTGCGCGTGCATCGGCGCCGATGCACGCGGGCATATAGGGTTAAGTGTCTTGCCCAAGGACACAATGACAGCAGTCATCAGTGGGAGTCGTGAAGTAGGTCTTACGGTGTGCTCAAACCCACAACCTAAAGGCCAATGCTCAGGACTTTTATGTTGGAAATAACACATGTTTCCAGATCAGCTTTTGAGTAGGTCCCCTTTCAAGGCAACTGTAGTTCTGGAACAATCTTTTCTGGTGTCACCATCACTTGCAAAGAAACATCTGCGGGTTTCGTCGCAAATTTCAGATTCTTCGGGGCAAATACTCTCGTCACATAAGCCACCACAGCAACTTTGAGGGAATTTTCTAGGGCCAGCCCCGTGCGTGTCTCCACTGCAGAAACTTTTTTTGGGGCCCAACACCCGGAGCGGTTACAACCGTAAAATAAACAAATGGGTTTGGCGTAATGAGTTTTGCTTATGCATCGAAACTCATGACGTCAGAGTGGTCCTACTCTGCAGTGGAGACACGGCCACTAAGAGGACCGAGGGAGAGGACGGTTTCTGTAGAAGTTCCACCCCTCTCCTTTTACCAGGAACTCCTGCGGTGGAACCGTAGCTATATTTTCACTAACACATTTTCTGGACATGATAGAGAGTCCAGCGCTGATTCCCTTGTTCAGTTTCTTCCTGCTGTCAATCACCTCTTGGAGGCGGGCTTTTGGCGTCACGGATCGGTGCAAGTCACAATTTGAAATGGCTCGTTTCTGTGCCTCTCGAGAATGGAAGAGAAAGAATGCTCTAACTAAAGCTTGGAGGAATCAATGAAAAAACCACTCTTAACTAACCTAATTTTTCTTTTTAAAATGTTCTGCTGGCAATAGCAGATGTATTTTGAACTTCAAACCCCAAAAGCTGTTTGTCATTTAAAAAGATATAACGCATAATATGGGCTCAAAATAAATTACTTTAAGTCCGTAAATGTCCATGGAAAAAGAATATCCACATGATATCTTTCCTGCGGAGATAGGTGGAAACGTTCGTCTGCAACAAGCCTGTGAATAAAACACACATGGTCTGTCTGTATTTTTTGGTTGCCAGACGGCCATGTCAATCATTCTTTTGCCGAATGATTGACATGACTAAGTAGCCAATAGGGAAAGCGTTCCAGCAATGGGTGGGACATGAGGGTACTCTGTTGATTTGTATCAGTAGAAGCATGCGTAAAGGCAGGGAGAGACGCGCTGGTTCGGAGCAGCGCACATTTTATATGCGTTTACTGTACTAAAAAATGAACTCCAAGCTTTAGTTAGAGCAATCTTTCTTTCATTCTTGAGAGGCAACAAAACACCCTTTATTTATTATTGTGTCAGCGACAAAAACTGTTCGGATCATGTCAACTTGGAGAAAAATGTGTTTATGGGTGTAAATATGTGACGCACTCTTGCGGCTCGACTTTTTTCATTGGGATCTGCCTCTGAAATCCACGACTAATGACTTTTGCCAGTGACACTTCACTAAAGACTGTTCCAGAACTAGGTTTCTGGTACTATTCAACTGGAATTGCTCAAAAGCTTCTCTGTAAACCTGCGTTATTCCCACAATAAAAGACGCTAACGAGAAACCCCAATCTCATAGTACAGTGCTGCTAACTCTGAATAATTAGGGCCTGACTCTGGATCAAGGACAAAGGCCTCTATGTGATGGATTGTCATTGTTGGAAAAAAAAACCCTTTTAAACATGTTTTCTATGGGGATAGAGTACCTACAAATGGAGGAAAAAAGTTTGTCACATACTATTAAAACTTCCGAAATGTCCTAATTGCTCATATTGATGCTGACCCATGTAACGAGCTGTTATTGTTTCAGAAACTGGAGGACCTGGAGAAGGAGGAGGAGCTCCGGGAACGTGCGGGGGAGTACGACTCTGACTCCGACAGCGAAGACGAAGATATGCAGCAAATCCGGGTTCTGGCCAAACAGATCCGAGACAAGAGGCAGCTGCTGGTGCTGGAGTCCAAGGAGAAGGACAAGCATGGGCCCCGCATGCCCCGCACGGCTACCAAGGTGAGCACACACACGGGCATAGGCCCCTCACCATGGTGGCCCCGCACAGCCGCCATGGTGAGCAGTCACACAACACACAAATCACAATACTGTCCCTCAATGAAAATAGAAAATAGTCCCTCAATATTGGTGACAAAACATTTACGAGCCTTCGTCTGTTCAGATTCCTCTCTTCAGGTTGCTTGATATACAGAAGTATGCAAAAGTTTGCATCGGGTACAAATGCCACTTTTCCACAGTATCAGTACGGTAAAGTACGCTTCAGCACGGTTATTTTGCGTTTCCACTAGTGGATGGTATGGGAGATTTGGGGACTTTTTCGTACTGTCTCAGCCGTGGTTCCATCCCCATAGTACCCGTGCCATGACGTGACGTCGGCCCACTGCCTTACACTGATTGGTCAACAAGTGTCGTCACTGGAAGCGACCTCTGACCCTTTGGGAAAAACAACTCAACCGCCATCTTTAAAACCGGCTGCTCTGCTCGGCTCTGCTTCGGCTACATTACGTCCTCCTCACTCCAGAGAAATGGAATTGCACAGAAAGCCCCAAAAGTCCTGGTCCTGGTCGGTGGACGAGGTCCACACGTTCCTCTCTTCAGGCCAAAAGAAAGAATTCAAAGGCAGCTCGAGGCTCAACACAGTTTTCAGGAGATCACCCAGCTCTGGATTTGTGACTAGTCTGTGGAAATCCTGGAAATAACTGGTTAGCTACGAATCCCGTTAAAGCTCTCACTGAAATGTATTTACTGTTTAAATGTTTGATTGTCTGTTGTACACAGTGAGCTAGCTACATTTAGCTTAATTTAGCTATCAATAGCAGCTAAGCTAACGTCCTCCCTGTGCTACTGTGCTTTATCTCGTATTATCTGCAGTATTCACGTGTTGTCATTCTGTTTTGTGCTTGTATTTAAGTTGTGTGTATATTTGTATGAGAATCCCTTTCCATAAGTGAGGAGATTATCAACGAGCAATGAGTAACCGGAGTATTCTCATCTGGTCTCACACATACGTACTTTTGACTTTGTAAACTGTTGGTTTTGCACTTTACTTTTGTTTTTAATAAATCTGTGATTGTATCAAGACTGTGTTTCATTCATATATTATTGTATCTGAGGTTTGGGTATTGATTGTTTGTCTGGTCTCGGAGTCTGCTGTAGTCCGGACTAGCCTAGCCTAGCCGCTAACTTGCTACCCCTATGGCTGCCGCTGTCTCTCCCTCGGTCCTTTATTGCTCGAGTTGCCATATGACGAGTTTAAACCCTGGATCCTCCTCTGATGGCAGTGATAGATGTGTTAAGTGTGGTATAGTTGTAGCTTTGGAGTCCAGGGTTAGTGAGTGAGCTGAGTCTCGAGCTAGCGCTAGCATTAGCTATAGCCTAGCAGTATCCTCGGACATGCAGCCCTCCTCCTCTGCTACACAGGCTGCTGTTGCTAAAGGTCCCATTCAGATTGTACAGAGCAGTCAGCACCATTGACTTCAGATTCCGAGTCATTCTTTTAAGATTAAGCATTTTCAAAAACTACTCGTGCTGTGCTGAATTTTCTATTCAACACTTGCTCTGATATTATAATAAATCCATGCACTGCACCAGTACTAGTTACGCATCACACGTAAATGACGTGGTCTGACAACGCTGAGGACATACTGGGGGTACTATTTTTTATGGAAAAGCACGCACACTGGGCCATGGCGCGCCGTGTAGTCAAAACGTACCGTACTAGGACTGTGGAAAAGCGGCAAAAGTCATAAGGGACAAGGCTGTCATTATTGCAGGCAGTTCCGCTGACACCAGTCCACAAAGTCCCTAATTACTCATCTGTACTCAGCGTCATCGTCCTCGGAGCTGAGTCCGATGATGGCAGAGTCGTCAGAGAACTTCTGGAGGACAGAACCGTCCGTGTTGTGTCTGAAGTCCGCAGTGTAGAGGGTGAAGAGGAACGGCGTGAGGACAGTTCTCTGGGGGGCCCCCACACTGCAGCACTGGGACGTCAGTGGCTCAGTTGGTAGAGCATTGGCCTTTGAGCCTAAAGCCTAAAGGACCTTCTCCACCGACTCCCACTGGTGTCCGCTGTCGTGTCCTTGGGCAAGATACTTTGCCCCACTTTGCATAGGTGCACAGATGTAACAGCACGCTGCATGCCTTGAGATATGCGTAAATGACTATTCATCCAATCGAATTTCTCCATTTTGAGATCAATAAAGTACATCTTTCTCCTCTTCTTAAAAAACTCTGGCCCTCTGATTTATTAGATCAATTTATTAGGCCAACCAGTCAGAGACTAAGAGCCAATTTTTTTTACCGTGTTACAGCAAAGAGCCACATCATACAAATGTGCACTACATAAAGCGCTTCCACCGCTCGCTTCAACCGCTCCCCGGGACTTTTTATTAATGGTTTGGCCCTGGTTCTAACCGGGCGAGTCGATACCAGAACAATTTCACGTCAGCGAACATCAATTATGATTCCGAAATGAATGCTTTCAATCTCTAACCAAGAAAAAAAATCAAGTTTCAACCCAGTGTTCAGCAGAAACACAACTGTCTTTATCGAACCATGATTCACTCTCTGACTGTGTTTAATAAAAGATATAGATTTGACACATAACACCAACACCACTTTAGCTGATTTAGAACCACAGACACATGTTCAGTATAAGACCAGATATTTTTGCATTTGATTGAAGACAGACACCCACCAGGCAGAGTTGGCTTATCTCCTGGTGTAACGCTAGCTGGTTTTAGCATGTTAGCCGGTGTTAGCCGGTGTTAGCCGATGTCCGTAAATGTAATCCATTTGGTCAAACCACCTCCAGACTTTACGGGTCTGCCTCTACTTCTGCTGCTGCAATCTTTCATTTCACGGTTGTCACTTTTAAGCTTTTTAACTTTTCTCTGCATTGTCATGTTTGTGGGAATCATTCTGCTCCGTCCTTAGTGCTAGCTCCACAAACACCTTCTGGTTTCTGGTGGAACCATCGAGCTCACGCTGGTGTCCTCTCCTCAAACTGACACCACCGAGGCGTTTTTGACGCTTGTCGTGTGGAAGCCCGAGAGCCGCACGGAATCAGCCAAAGAGCCGCATGCGGCTCACGAGCTTATGACATCCCTGGTGTAGAGCCCAAATGTTATGGAAAATGAAACACCGGCTCTTAACAATGCGTGCCAACGTGCTAATTTTTCCAAATGTGCTTATTTGGTGAATGTGAGTTCTGACATAGGACTGGTGTGTTCCAGGTGGAGAGGAAGCAGCTGGAAAAGGAGATGGGCTCTCTGGGTCTGGACATGGACGACAAAGATGACGTAAGTCCTCTTTCTTTGCTTACCTCCAATATGTGTCATACATGTGTCAGACGTGGTTGTTGCTCTCTCTCCTTCAGAGCCACTACGCTCAGCAGGGACGCCGCTCACGCAGTCTGGTGAGGAAACGTAAGCGCGAAGTCTCCATGCCCCCTACGTCCAAGACCCGCAGTCAGAGTGCCTCCAGACCAACACGGGACAAGTCCGGCCTCAGAGACCCCAAGGTAGCAACATTCAAATGTACCTTTTTTATTTGCTTGGTAACCAACATTCTGGACTGGTCCTGAACTGGTTTTGGTTTGGTGCTGATACACTTTGATTTTCCACCAGTGAAGAGAAAGTTCTAGTTACCATAGCAACACACGGTTTACTTGACAGCAGTTAGTATTTGGGCGCCTGTCAAGTTGTTTTTCTGTATCTCAAGTAATATTCACCACTTTTAGTCATTAGGTAAAAACCATGTAAATCAATTAATAAAACTAGTGGAAAAACATGCATCACCAGAATCAGTTCTAAAAATGATTTTTACATCTGACCTTGTGTCTGAGACCACAGAGAAAAGATGGAGATGTGATTTCAAATGAGAATCTGTCTCTTAAAACCATAAACATGGAACTGTGTCCTACAGATGATGAAGAAGGCAAAGACCATGATGAAGAACTCACAGCGTGGCATGAACCGACAGGGCAAGAAGGGCGAAGCCGATCGTCACGTCTTCGACCTGAAGCCCAAGCACCTGTTGGCAGGCAAGAGGAAGTCTGGCACCACAGACTACCGCTAAGCCTGCCACTCCCCCATTCAGCTGTGGCCTTATCCCTTCCACATGCAGCCTCATGCTAGCTCTGTTAGCATTGTTAAGTGTGACACCATTTCTTATGTCAGAGTTCAAAGCTGCAGCAACTTTTAACTGCCTGTTTGAATTTGTGCTCCTTTGCGTTGAACTAAATCGTATGAAAAACAGTTCAGAACCTCTCCTTTACAAAGGGAGGGTGCATCAGTTGATCACTGAAGCTGCTCTCCAGGGCAGACTATGTGACAGACGGGGGCCTGTAAGTCACGATCCAGACCCTCATGTCCTGTGCCTGCTGCGCTCAGCTTTTATAACATATCGACCACTTGTATGGCGCGTCTGTCCTTAATATTAAACACGCTTGATGGCGCTGAACAGAGCCTCCTTATCCTAACAGCATAAGGTCAGAGTTCCTGCATCTTTGTAATTGCCCCATAGTGAGCTTGCGCAGCCACGGGTCATACCTGGGGAAAGTATAATTCAGTATTTATATTTAAAAATTCTGAAATCTATTCAGAAAAAAAAATGTCCATGTATTTGAACCAAAATGGATAAAGATGTGAAATACCTGTTATATAAATCCATATACACCCACGTTTACATTGATCTATCTTTTCTGAAAATGGTTTCAATGCAAGTTTAATATCAAATGATCATGTTTTTCTAAATGCAAATAAATGCATGAAAGACGTCATCTTGTCCATTTGAGGGTCCTTATTTTGCTCATTGTCACCAAAAGTAGGCTTGATCCTAATAGTTAGAGAAAACAATCACATCGTCTGAAATGAGGTCTATATACATAGCAACAGGGTCTGCTATGCCTCCTAAGATAGGAGTTTTTGTCCATTCCCAACTCTGAGATTGTTCAAGAATAGATATTTTTTATTGATTTTATAGATTTATTTGATGGGGACAAGTGTACACAATCAACATGTGAAACGCTACAACATTTATAGCTATAGTTTGCAATGTCAGTCCCTAGGAGGGCTTTTAACACAATTAAAACACATTTTACATCATAAAATTCACATCATACAAAAGCAGATGTTCTCCAACTCATTGGTGCTCACACAACTGGTTTGTTTTAAAAAATCGCTTGAGTTTGTGTTTAAAACCAGCCCAGTCAGAGTTCAGTTTTAGCTCGGGGCATAGAGTTCCAGAGCTTTGCCCCCTGGACCGAGAAGACCGACTGCCCTAATGTGGTTCTCCTGAGGGGCACTTTTACGCACTTTATGCTAAGACTCCTAGCTAAGTTAGAAGCTCTCTGAGAGGACTCTCAGAATCTTTAGTTATACAGCCCCAGATCTTAGAATGAAAGATGTTCGGACAGAGGAAAAGATTTAGAGATGCTTTATTCATTCCACAGTTGGGAAGTTTTTGTGTTGCATCACCAATTACAGAACAGTAGGAAGGACAACACAAGATAAATGCACAATAACTATACTAAATAAAATACAATCTCTAAATGCTCAGAAGCCATTGCTCCATAGGCAGCAGGATGAGCAATGGACATAAAAGTTTGTGTAAAAATCTGAGAAAAACATAGGGAACTGTCTGGCCCCTGAGAGAGAATAATCCCGCACACCGTCTTACTTGCAAATTAAACATTATTTATTTAAATTGCGACGTTTCGGCGTTATGCCTTCATCAAGCAAACGTGAAAAGAGCCCCAGGAAGTCCTCTTAAATAGGGTGGGGCAGGCACCCAAGGGTGTACAGTCACCACACCCACAGAGCAATGCACAAAAAACACATGAACCACTAGATGGAGACATACAAAGATAGCAGTCAGACAGATTATAAATATATATATATATATATATATATATATATATATATATATATAATCACACACACATGTGCTAAATGACTATTTATAGTGCGATTGATTATATAAAATGGAAAAAATAGAAAAACTGGGGAGGATTTAAATATATAGGGTACGCATAGAGTGACCAGGCAATAATAAAACACCAGTGTACTACATACATTTCACCATATACACATATCACTATATTGAGAAAAATAAACCACGTACAAAATGACCTATCGATGACTTGACAATATCAAAAAACATTTCTCATAAAAATATGCTTAAATTGAAGTCGTCATTCAAGCCTTTTGGGGCTAGGGTCTGAAGTGTGTAGATCCAGTAGGTCTCTGTTTGAGCAGTCGGTCGTGGTCTCCTCCTCTGGGTGGAAGGTGGACTTTCTCAATGCCAAATAATCTTAAAGCACTGTCGTGGTTGTGGTCATTAAAATGTACAGCTACAGGGTAGTCTCTGTCGTTCCTGCGGTTGGTGCCCTTGTGTTCACTGATTCTCTGTTTTAGTTTTCTTGTTGTTTTACCAATGTAGGCCAAACCACATGGGCACTTAAGCATATAAACTACATGTGTGGAGGCACATGTAATCACACTTTTAATGGGGAATTTCTTACCAGTGTGGGGGTGCAATAAATGATGTTATTGCACTGAGCACAGCGGTAGTTCCCAGTAGGAATCGGTTGGAGCAGAGTTTGTGAGGGTTCCTTTGGGGTACTTGTAAAGGTGGCCCGCACCAGTCGGTCCCTCAGATTTCGTCCTCGTTTATTTACAAAAAGAGGGGGGTCTTAAAAATATTAGATTTCTGGGTCTGATGTCAAAATGTGCCAGTCCTTAAGTGCTGAGCGTGGTTTGTGAAGGGCTTGCTCAAGACTTTCAGATCTGTGGCCTGTTCAATGTAATCGTCAGTGGTATGACAAATCCTTTTCAAACGGAGAAACTGACTAATAGGTAGGCCTTTTTTCAAGGGTGTGGGATGGAAACTGGAGGCCAACAAGAGTGTGTTTCTTTTCGATACAGGGATGTGATGATGCTGCCTTTGTCCTTGATTACCCACATGTCCAAAAAACTCACTTGGCAGGAGTTGGATTGAGCAGTGAACTTAAGATTTGGGTCAAAACTGTTGTTTAGTGACACAAAGTCATCAAGTTCAGCAATGCTACCATTTAAAAATACAAAAAATGTCATCTATATACCGGAACCACTTAATGTTTGGGTGAAATTGGTTTTGCGTGGGGTGTCTTCAAAATACCCCTTATATAGATTAGCATAATTAGGCGAACTGTCCGGCCCCTGACAGCAGGCTGATATTCTAATGTGACCCTCGGGAAGAAAGGTTTGCTCAGGCTTGGGCTAGTCGATTCTCAAATCAGCTTCTTATGCATTCGGTTAACACTAAGGTGACGTCACTCATTCAGTCCATTTCTAATAAACATTTTATCAAACATGTTGGCCACTATTGGGTTTAGACTTTCATTCATCTGTACTAAGATTGTTCCCACCTATAAATAGAATAAATGGGAAGTGAAAACTCCAGAGCATCAGCTTCACAAAGAGTCAAACCTATAGAGATATCTCACGTAACGTCACGATGCCTCGAACTCGCGGGGAATCCGCCACACTGGAGGAACAGCATAAACATGTTCAAAATTTTTGCCGTTTTTGGCTGCAGCAAAAGGAGAGACAGGGAAAATAAGTTGTGTTACCGACTGCCAGCCGTCCTTACTTCATACGGCTCAAAAACAGAAGACATCTCAAAGAAACGAGAGAGAAATGGTTCAACCATATGCAACAAACTAATAGCCACTAGAGCGCCCGAATATGCTCGGATCATTTCATTTCTAAGTGAAATCAATTTGATGGCGGATTTAGTGTTATTCCGAAACAAACAGAAGTTTAAGGATAAAACATATCTATCTGACTGCAACGTGGGGTTGCTCCATAGACTGTAGCTTAGCTTGTAGCATAGCTGTTATATATTTGGTCTCACACAGGACCTCACCCGGTTCACAGGGTATCTGACTTACCGAAGGCCAGCAGACATGTGAACGACTGAGCCGTGCTCGAGGGTGCCCCGTACTAGTATTTATTAATAAAATACACGGCTCCTCACAGTAGACGCAGAAAGCTCCATTGATTTGAATGTAATCTCATTATTTCCACTGCAGTGTAGCCACACATAGATCCATGGTGTAACAATAAACACATTAAATGTTAATCGGAGAATACATTATACATATACATTCTTAATACACGTGCACAGAGGTGTTCAGAATTTTCTGTTCACGTTTTCATGAAAAAACACTTTTAATGCGACAATATGCGACCGCGGTGAACCTGGATGTAAGGATAAACATTAATAATACATTTAAGGATGCATTTTCAGAGGATCTGATTCATGAATTTAGGTTGAGTATATATTTGGGTCACTAACTGCTGAAGTTTAAAATTCTCTGTTCAGTTTTCATGTAGTTCGAGAGAGTTCTAGTTTTGAACGTCCAGTTATAGATAGCTAGCAGGGCTGTTACTCGCCGAGGTTGTCCTCCAGTATGGCTGCCGTGGCTGCTAGTCATGTGACCGTAGGATCCCTCTATTAAGGTCGAGTTTTATGTCATTTTTGGTGTTTTGGAGAAAGGTTGGACTGTTAATCCAGTGTAAGGTGGATTTTAACCAAACTTTTGAGAGTGAGGAACTTGTTACATGGATTTAGTTTTATTAATATCAAACAATGAATGACATTTTGTTTATAAAATCAGAATCAGAATCATTTTTATTGACACGTAAGTAACTAAAGTCACCACTTGGAAATTGTTTTGGCCGAGAGCATGCCACGGCGCTGTGCAACCATGCTTATTTAAAAAGGAAAAAAATCAACACATTGTTCTACGTTTGTGTGTTGTCCTCTGGATAAAATGACATGCACACACCACAGGAGTAATTTTTCAAGCTGAATTTGGAATACTTGGTTATTAAACCATAGTTTTTGATCAACTCAAAGCAGCCATGGGTCAGATTGACCCAAAAATATAGTGTGAGGGATGATTACAATCCCACATGTCCTTTGACAAGGCCAACCCAAACACATATTAAATACACACAAATGCCCTCATTTATGGAACTTGCGCAGACAAAGGTGTACATTTTGGGTGTAGATTCAAATTACGCAAGATCCAACGTGGGATTTATGAAAATGTGAGATCCGCCCAGATCTGAGCGTACGCGGCTGTTAATAAATGCAGCGGGTGAAATATGTATTTACCATGTATTTACAAAGGAGCTTGCTGCACCTATAAATATGCAGAAAAAGTGCCTTTTTCATGCCCCATTTTTACGACAGGTCAGAATGGTAGTTGACCAAGAAGACTGTTTGGAAGCCTCAAAAGGCTCGTTCATTTGTTCACTTTTGTTTCAAAATAAATATGCTATATTCAGCGGCGTTTCCATTGAGTAGATTGGCTAAACTTTTTTGATAATTCATGAATGATGTCTGCAGCATCTCAGTGTGAATACAATGGAGCGATCTCTGTGAGAGAGATGAGAATCTTTTGGGAAGTTTTGGTCGATTTCACAAAAACTCTGGATCCAAAACTTCTGAATGACGTGCACCCATAGACTGTATATTAACGGACGTAGTCATGCCCATCTCCACCGTTCTAACTAATGGGCTTTCATGGAGTGACTCAAAATGGCCACGGGGGCTGGAAAATGTGAAAAAATGCATCTGCGCATGTGTCAGTCGGCACGAGCCCCATTCATTTAAACGAGTGACTTAAAAAATTCACAGCGAGTAAACTAGACTGGTCCAAAAAATGTCACTCTCCTCCGCATTGACACACATGTGGAACGGAGCTTTGGGCCAAGAGCCAACTTTTGGACCATCCTGTAAAGGTGTTTTCGAGAGGTAAGAAGATGCTATATGTTAGCATTGACTACTTTTTATTCCGGGTCCACCCCCATCGGCCCGGGGTGGTATTGCAACAATGTCCGCGAACGTCAATTCGTCCACTTTTGAGCCGGGACCCGCCCCCACTGCGGCACCAGGAGTTATGCGGCAGGACCTCCCGTAGCACCCGCCACGCACTGCACTGACTACATGTGGACAGGGCAGTGAGACATTTGGAGTGTGCAATACCACAGTCCATCGGTGCGTATCTGAGGTTTCACAAAACTAATGAAAAAATACATTGCCTTCCAGATGTGAATGAGACAAAATAAATAGCCATGCGTAATTACGCAGCGCAGGGCCTGCCATAGATTTACACAGCAATAGATGGGTCACACATCCCAGTGTATTTGTAAATCAAGTGTATTTGTATAGCGCCTTTCACAGACCAGGATCACAAAGCGCTTCACATTTTTTTAAAAACGTATAGAAGAAAAAAATACACATACAAGTTCAGATTTAAAAACAGAAATTGAAGAGGGTCCTCATCATGAACTGTGACTAATTCGAAGTTTGCGTGGTTCCATTAGACTTTCCTGATGCGCAAATTCAAATTTCGAAATTTGATGCTCAATGGAAACGCAGCTTATGTTTATTGTTGATCAAACCTTGAATTTCATGCGCATTGAAACAACTCAACGTGGAGTTCAGATCCTCGGTTAAAATACAATGAACACACGGCCCGTACACACCGGGAGTGCAGCAAGTGAGAACAGCTCTTCTCACACCGACAGAGCGCAGAGACCATAGACTGATGATCTCACTGTGTTCGGTGTGTACGCTCCTTGCTGATACAACGGACGCGCATTTCGTGCGGTGTGTACGGGTTGTTACGGCTGTTAAGCCAGAACGAAATTGCTGCAGGTCAGACGCAGGCAAATGAAAGCAGTACTAAAAAAAACACTTTCAAATCAGATTTAAATGCAAGGACTACATTTGGATCAGCTGGCACTGGAGAGAAGTGGAGCATCGACAACCTTTGAAGCCCAAGTGCAAGGAAAGTGGAGCCCAAAACATGCTGCAGCCTTTTCTAAGTAGAATAATTTGCACAGTATTTCTCATTTTCAGTAGTTCTGCCTATAGCTCAAGCATATCCCTAAACAAATGTATATAAGATAGATTTTATTGATCTCACAGTGGAGAAATGTACATGTGACATTTCGAAGAGATAGAATCACTCAGATTGTGAAGAAGACAGAAGTGTGCAAAATGTTAAAGGTAACAAATATAGGATAGCATATCCATGTAATTATGCACAATAAAAAATTGGCAATAGCATGTGCAGTTTTTTCAGCAGTGCATTAGTGACTTAGTGACTCATTGTACAATTTGACAGTGGTGTTGATTCCCTTGTATTAAAAAACATGCAAACATTCCACTGGGCAATTATATATTTTTTTAACTGGCACCGGCACGTCTTTTGGGCCACTTAAAGCACTGCTTCCAGATTGATAAATGCCAAAAAGTGTACATTTATTGCGTACGCCTCATTTACACCCTGATTTGGCCGTACCAAGTTTCATAAATGAGGGCTATAGTGTAATTTCCCTTGTGGATCAATAATGTCTAAGTCACATCCGTAGCTATGACTCTAAGATGGGTAAAACCATCAATATTTATAAGGCTGGGTGCCAGAGTAGCCAGCTGAAGAGAGGCTATCTGAGGAGTTTGTTTGCATCAGGAGCAGAGAGCAGCCACACGGGACCCAGAGGCGAGATGAGGCTGACCTGTGACTCTTCCATACTAAAAC